AGAGAGAGAGAGAGAGAGAGAGAGAGAGAGAGAGGGCTCGCGTTTGGGGTTAGCCGCCGCCGCCGTCGCGCTCCGTTCGTCCTTTGGCCAGGCGTCCGTAACGTATAGGTTGTGCCGGGTCGTGCGGATCGATCCCGGTCGGTTCGCCGCGACAAGCCACGCCGGCGCGGTCACGGCGGCGCGCGATTGGTAGAACCGCACGACACGGGGGCGTGGCTTGTTCGTGGGGTCGACTTACACCGCCGCACGACTCGGTGCGGTTCGTAGAGAGCGGGTGGCGCGGAGGAGGTGAACGACAGCGCAGTCGACTATCTGCTCCGGCACGGAGTCGCTCGTACACCTTGTCCTCTCGCTGCTCGTTCGTGTCTCCGCCGCAGGACCGGCGTCCTTAAGCGACGCGACGCGACGCGCCGTAACCAATCAAACACTTCGAAAACCAAGATCGTTCCCGGTCGTTCGCATTTCGAGAGAAAGAGAGAGCGTCGCGTGGAAAGGCAAGCCAGAAAGGGCAGACAGAGAGCAGATGGAAAGGCAACGAGGGAGAATTTTCGATTGAAATCGCGAGGAGAAATCGGGTCGTTTGGAAGGTGCCGAGGCAAGGATGCGGTGATCGAGAGTAGGCAACCGCGACGAGGAAGCCCTCGGAGGCTTCAGGCCGCCTACGACGACGATGCTGTTGCCGGCGGATATGCTGGCGGCACAGTCCAAGATGGTGTACCAGATCAACAAGTATTTCGGGGAACGCGTGATGACGAGGAAGAGCCAGGTGATGAAAACGATCCAGGAGGTGTGCCGCGTGGTTCAAGACGTGTTGAAGGAGGTCGAGGTGCAAGAGCCGAGGTTCATCTCGTCCCTGACCGACTACAACGGCCGCTTCGACGGCCTGGACGTGATCTCGCCGACGGAGTTCGAGATCGTCATCTACCTGAATCAAATGGGGGTACTGAACTTCGTGGACGACGGCACATTGCCCGGTTGCGCGGTGTTGAAGCTCAGCGACGGCCGCAAGCGGTCCATGTCACTCTGGGTGGAGTTCATCACCGCGTCCGGCTACCTATCCGCCCGAAAAATCCGCTCGCGGTTCCAGACGCTGGTGGCGCAGGCGTGCGACAAGTGCGCCTACAGGGACTCGGTGAAGATGATCGCGGACACGACGGAGGTGAAACTCCGTATCAGAGAGCGATACGTCGTGCAGATCACGCCGGCGTTCAAATGCGCTGGCCTCTGGCCGAGATCGGCCTCCCACTGGCCGATCGCGCACATACCCTGGCCGCATCCGAACATCGTGGCCGAGGTGAAGACCGAAGGCTTCGACATGCTGTCGAAGGAGTGCATCGGCCTGCAGGGCAAGCAATCGGCGATGGAGGGCGACGCCTGGGCGTTATCCTTCATAGACGCGGAGAATCGTCTGCTCCAGGGTGGCAGTCGGAAGCGTTGCCTCAGCATATTGAAAACCCTGAGGGACAGACACCTCGATCTACCCGGGAACCCGGTCACCAGCTACCACATGAAAACCCTGTTGCTGTACGAGTGCGAGAAACACCCGCACGAAGCGGAATGGGACGAGATCTGCATAGCGGATCGGATCAACGGGATCCTTCTGCAGCTGATCTCTTGTCTGCAGTGTCGCAGGTGTCCGCACTATTTCTTGCCGAACTTGGACCTGTTCAAGGGCAAGTCGCCCAGCGGCTTGGAGAACGCGGCCAAGCAAGTGTGGAGACTCACCAGGGAGTTGTTGACCAATAGCCGTGCTCTGGAAAAGCTGTAGCGATGGAAAAACTTTCAGCCCGATCCGAGTGCCACGCGAGCGAAGGAATATCTTATTACTATTCGTGTGAGATATTCGAGGAAGATCGAAGAAGATCGAGAAACTGAGAGGTATGCGAAACGTCGCACGCCTGAAACTTCTGCATTCTGCTGTCGGAAGAAGAATTCTGAAGAAGATGACGAAAGTGTTGGAAGAATTTCAGTTTGGAAATCGCGCGGTGCGTGGCCCCCCTCCGTTGGGGAACAAGCGCGTGTGATTTTGTGATTCACGGGGTCCGAGGGCGATCGAACCAGTGCCATAAAATATCCACCGAGACACATCGAGAGTCTCTGTTTCGCTCTCGAGTTGCCGACGGCAGCCACCACCTCGTGCCACTTCTAACCGGTATTACTCCATTTCGTTGCTACTTCGTTTCACTCCCGTCGAAACGCACGTCGCAGGAGATATCGTCCGAGCATTTCGAACGAGAGAGATCGTGATTCGAATCCGAAGTTGAATTTAAAGTTATTACACGCGACTGCGAATGAGACTACGACGACGAAAGAAAAAAACACGACGAAAATCACCGGTTACTTGAGTTATGCTTAATTCCTTCCTCTGAACTGAACTGTCTCTTCCTTCTCCCCCTCCCCCTTCCCCTCCGCCTCCTTGTCATTATGTACATACTATCTGAAAGATATTTATTGAAAGTGTACACGAGAATATGTGAAATACAATGCTATTTATATGGAACCGTAGCCGAAGTTGTCATTTTTCTGTCAAGAACAGCACACACACCCACTCCTCACCTACTCGAAATCGAACTCGCGTGAATATTCTTTGGACCAATCTCGTCTAATCTCGTCGATCGGATCTCGTAGATTTAGATTTATTTCCCGCATATTAATTACCGATTGAATGAAATTTTACGCCGTTTGTTTTTCAATTTTTGACGCTGGCGAGTGTGTACCTTTGAACAAATTCCTGACGTCAACACGATCGGCCATTTCGCGCGTATCGCAGCAGATTCGGTAGAAATAAAGTTGTTTTTTTTTTTTTTTTCAGTGAAAGGAAAGACGAAGTTTCGAGGTCTTGACGTCAGTACGGGTCAAATGTGCGAGTTAGTTCTTTATCACAGTTGTTATTATTAGTGTCGTTATCGTTATTGTTTCCTTACTACCGGTTTTTTCGTTGGTTGATAAGCAAGTCGTACCTGAACAGAAGGAAAGGGCCTGCCCCGTTCGTTATTTACACATCCAAACTTCAAAGTTAACGCATTTATCGCGAGACATGGGAAATCCACATGTCACACGTTAATTTACATTGGCTGCCGCGAAACGACGGGAAACGTAATTTTTGTGTCGCGAAATAATGCGAAACACTGGAAAACTAGAGTATTAAACGTAGAATTAGAGAATTAACGGTGGTTACATGTTGCAGTAGTGTTTAACCGCGAGTTACCATTCTTTAAACTTTAAAAGCTCAACACTCGGACGAGAGAGAAGAAACGAGACTGAGATCTTTCCTTCTTTTCTGGCCATCGTTCGAAATACATAAAATCAAGCTAACTAACTGAGTGTTTCGAATAACCTTGTACACGATTAATTTACCAAAAGTGACGGGATGACCGGTCGATCGAGCAATTACTATCCTGATGCCCGTTCTGGCGCCACTCGGAGGAAAACACAGTGCGACATATCCTAACTTTGTAACTTGCTTGCTAAATAATCGATCTTCGCAACGGTCGTGGAAGATCCAAGCAGATACGCGAGAAGATCTGAACCTGCGTGTAATCGATTTGCTAACGCGTAACAAACTGGCAGCAATTCAAATCGCGATGTTCGTGTGTTTGCTCGATGTTCGTGTGCCTCGAACGATACGCGCCATTAATATTGTTAATGTACGCGTGCACGAAATCAAGTTCATATTAACAAACGTCTGACGAAATGAGATTCATT